TTTGTTTCCTTGCAGGGGCTTTGGTTTCCGCGGTCTTGTTGTCTGCCCTCCTTCCTCGGATTCCCCGTCCTGTTCCTCACGTTTCCCGGTCTTGTTCCCTTAGGTTCCTCGGGTTCCCCGGTCTTGTTCTTCGGGTTTCCAGGTTCCTTAGTCTTGTTCTTTGGGATCCCAGGTCTTGTTCCTCGGGATCCCCCGGTATTGTAAAGCAGCGCAACTCAACGCCATCAGCTGCAACAGAAAGCCAAACGGTACCAAGCAATGCCAAGCAGTGTCGAGCAGTGCCGAGCAGCGTCGAGCAGCGCCTAGCCATGCAAAGCAATTCTAAGCAATGCCAAGCACGGCCAAGCAATGCGCCCACGCAATAGGGAGTTGTCCTGCAATTGGGGTCGCGCCGGGTTCACTGTTCGATGCCTTCGTTGTTCCTCGATGTCGCACTTTGGACAGGGAAGTAAACCTTGCTGATACCGATGCCCCTCCATGGTTTGTGACTTTCGAGGTCTCTTGGGGGGCCCTCGTCGCCACGGCTGGGTTCGCTGATCCTCGTCGGACTGCACCCAGGACAGTGTCGGGGAGTAGCGGTATCGGTACGAGCACCGGCTTTGTCACCCCACCCTCCGTTCTGGGCCGTGGTACTGTCGGGCAAAGATCTGAGCTGCAAAACAGGACTCGTTGGAGCGGGTCCAGGGCTCTAGGGCCCTCGGATTGAGAACATCATCAAGTCGGAGATGTTGGATGTCAGCAGAGAAGAATGCAAGGATGGCCCTGGTCTGCTCCTGGGGTGTCCATCGGCAAAAGATGCCAAAGCAGAGGTTCCATGCCGCGCGCGGAAGGGGAGCAGAAGAGCTCGAGCCTAACAGTGCTTTGGCGACTTCATGGTCCGTTTTCGCATTGATTTCGTTTCGCTGCAAAGGTAAAACGAAGACAGAGCGAAGCAAAACGAAAAAGAGAAGCACTGTTTAGCTCGAGCCCTGGGGAGCAGGAGGAAGAAGAAGGGAAGGAGAAGGGTGTCACAGGAGTCTAGTGAAGCGGTGAGAAGGAACATGGAGGGGAGAGGAAGCAGTGAGGGGGGGGGAGAGGAGCGCCCTCTGTTTGTCTTCAGTCCCTTGACATCGCTCAGACGTGTGCATTTTTCCTCGGCGAGGCCCATCGAGGAGCATCCTAGATCATCCCGCGAAAAATAAGCGCGCGAAGCCGAGAAATGCACGGGGAATGGACGTCCGAGCTATGGCAAGGTCTGCCCAGCATGTTACGGTCGCCGCCTTGCCCCCAGGAGAGGAACGCGGGCGAGAGTAAGCTTTCCGCCAAGCAGTGCCTGTTCTGCTTGCATTTGGGCGCCTGTGGAGTAGCAGGATGAGGCCTTGAAACATGGATGGAACGATGCCAGGAAGGCCTGCGGCAGCGGGGGCTGCCGACATTAGCGATTGCGATGGTGATGGTGATGATGATGATGATGATGATGATGATGATGATGATGATGATGATGATGCTGATGCTGATGCTGATGCTGATGCTGATGCTGATGCTGATGCTGATGCTGATGCTGATGCTGATGCTGATGATGATGATGATGATGATGATGATGATGATGATGATGATGATGATGATGATGATGATGATGATGATGTGGACGATGACGACGACGATCGTGATGGTGAGGAGGATGCGGGTGAGCATGATGACGGCGTTGATGAAGGTGGTCAGCGAGGTCCAGAGTCCTCAGGAGGGGAAAAAACACACAGACACAATTAATCGTCGATTCTCAGAAAATACAGAAAATATGGGAAGTGGGGGGGAAGACGAAAATCCAGAAAGTATGGAAACATGGGGAATCCTGGGATTTGTGTTTGTGTTCATTTGTGTGTCCCTGCGCCCATTTACTTCCGTGGCATGCACTGCGGGTGACGTGCCTGTCGCACGAGGCGGGTGCGCACAGCAGGCAGGCAGTGCCCGGGGCGCCGGGATCTCAGGCAGGGGGTGCGTCTGTGGCGCGACATCCGACGACAGAGGGCTGAGCTCTGCCCGGATGCTCGTTTCGCCGTCGCCACGCCTTGGCGTCCTGGGCCCCTTAAAGGAGAACGCGGGGAGGGAGGAGGGAGGGAGGAGGGAGGAGGCGGGAGGAGGGAGGCGAGAGGCGGGAGGAGGGAGGCGGGAGGGAGGAGGAGGGAGGAGGCGGGAGGAGGAGGGAGGAGGAGGAGGAGGAGGAGGAGGGAGGAGGAGGAGGATGAGGGAGGAGGAGGGAGGATGAGGGAGGAGGAGAAGGAGGAGGAGGAGGAGGAGGAGGGAGGAGTGGGTCTCGCGTGCTGCCGGTGCGATGGCACCACAGGCGAGGCGTGTCGTGAGCTCCTGGGGCCGAGGCTCCAGCACACGCGCGGCGCTGTGTCAAGCAGGGCTCCCACACCAAAGGGCAATCAAGGCGCTGATCGAAGCAGTGAGGCAAGTTGGCTAGAGCGTGTTTCTTTACAGTCAACGCGCCTAGTGAGGACGCGTGCCTTCATCTAGGGTACCCTTGAGTCCTTGCCTCTGCGGCCCGTCCTTCGCCGTTTTCACTGGCTGCCCCCCGCCCCAAAAATCCAACTTCGGCCTCCAAGGGTCTTGCGTCCTTACCACCCGTCCTTAATATACGTTTTCATTGTATTGCCTGGGGCATAATGGGCATGAAAGCCCCCGACCCCCCCTCCCCCCCCTGGCTCTCCCCTATAACGTAACGCCCCTCCCCCCCCTCAGTGCGCTTCGGACACTGCCGCCGCGCCACACGGCGGGGGGGAGGCGTTACGTTATACCCCCCCCTGGCTCCTCTCCCTCCTATAGAATGCCCATGATCGCCGAAAAAATAAAGCAACGCGCTCCGAGATAGTGAGGCATGCTGGCTATGTGCCGTGGACGACGAGCGCCACGCACCGGAGCTCTGTCGGTGGCGGGTGCGGGACAGGGCAGTGGGCGAGGAACGACCGCAGGACCCCGACGTGCACGGGGGCGGCGAGGGGCACGCCGGGGCACGCCGAACGACCGCCTCTCGCCGCTCTCTTGGCCCGTCCAGGGCCGACGCGCCGAGCGGCGTCGCGCCAGGAGGGGGGGGGAAGTGAGAAGGGCCAGGAGGGAAGGAAACACAGACACAATTCATCGTCGACTCCCCAGAAAATATGGGAAAATATGGGAAGATATGGGGGGGAGGACAAAAACCCAGGAAATGTGGGAAAATATTGGGAATCCTGTTATCTGTGTGTATTTAATTGTATGTCCCAGGGCCCCTTCAAAGGGGCGGGCCTCCTCGGAAGGCTCGGAGGGCTTCCGGGAAGCCCCGCCGCCTTCTGCCTCGAGCCGGTCCCAGCCCCGTCGTTCCCGCTCCGGCGCGAAGGCCGAGACTCGGCGGATCGAGAAGCAGGTGGAGGAGCCCCCTGCTGCCGCAGGTGCTGGGGGCGCTGGCCAGGGAGGTGCACGACGGGCTGCTCCAGAGGGTCAGCGGGTGGTGGCGCCGCGAGGCGGCGAGCTCGTCTGTGCCTGGATTGTCCTCTCAGGTCGGAACGAGGCAACGAATATCCTACCGAGCCAATCCCAGGCGGCTTCGCATCCAACGACGGCAGGGCGCGATGACAAGTTGGCCGACGGCGGGGACTTTCATCCCAGCCCAGCTTGCCGCTGACCGACCGCACTGGGCCATGGCCCCGGCGCCCAGAGCCCTGCCCACAATCTGAGCAGGATTAAGGGAGGAAAAACCACCCAGACCGGACAATTGGCGTTTATTAAACGGCCTTGGGCGTTTACTACAGAGCCCTGCCCTGTTTGATTCCTTCTTTGGGGCGCGTTTAGTAAACGGCTTCGCGTGTCGGGGTGGTTACTAGCGTTTTTTTTTTTTTTTTGACTTCTACAGGAGGAGGAGGAGGAGGAGGAGGAGGAGGAGGAGGAGGAGGAGGACGAGAAGGAGGAGGAGGAGGAGGAGGAGGAGGAGGAGGAAGCACGACCAGGAGGAGGGGAGGAGGGTGAGGGGGAGGGCGACGCGCAGCCAACCGATCCAGGCCCAGACACGGGGGCTCCACAGGCCCACGGGCTGCACCGGCCTCCTCGCCCGGGGCCCGCCACGGCCGGGCATGGGCGTGCGGGCACTCCGGGGGCCGCACCGTGCGCGCGCTGGCGCAGGCAGGGGGCCCAGGGCGGCGGCGCGCCGCCTCTCGCAGAGCGGTACAACTCAAGCAGTGGCGAAGCGCCCTGGCTCGCCTATAGCCCTACCAAACCATATTCTGAGGACCTTTTGAGGTCTCCACGGAATTTTCCTAGAGCACTTCTGGCGGAGTCTGTCTTGTTTAACACATCGGGTTTATGTTCTAAAAACATCGTTTTTGTTCTTAGAACATTTTGGGGTTCTAAGAACATGTCGTGGTAGGACTATAGGAATGCTGGGACGGTCGGTCCCTGGTCAAACAACAGCAGCAGAAGAGTTGACGGTGCCACAGCTGCCTCTCGCGACCAGTGGCCGCCCCCGTCCGGCCGCCCGCCCCTCCGATCCCGCGGGAGCCCGCGGCGATCCTAGGATGGCTTCTGCCGCGCACAGGGCGAGCGACCCGTGGCACGCGCTGGTCGCCCAGACCGTCACGGCGTGCGCCCGGCGGAGCACTGCCCCGGGGGCATGCGTGCGGTCTGGTCTTCCATGTGGCCCTCCCCGCCAGCGCTGTGGGCGCGCACTTCACACGATGTTGGGTTCGCAGTCGACGGATCGCTTGATGATGAGGGGGAGAACTGGTTTCTACCGCACGCGGCGTGCGGAGAATGCCGGTCGAGCGCAGAGCTCTCCCGCGCCCGGCTCCAGGTGCTGTGGGCGAGGCTCGGACCCCTGGCTCCTCCGCCTCCGGCCTCCGCTGTGTGCAAGTCTGCTGCTCCTCCCAAGACGGCTCAAGACGGATCCGAGACTGCCCCAGAGGCTCCTAAGAGGGTCCGGGATGGCTGAGGTCAGGGGAGCCGAGAAACGGCCGAGGGGGGGGGAAGGGCCCTGCTGCGCAACTTGAACTCCCTCTGGCCTGCGAGCCGCAGCCCCTGACGCATACGGACGGTCAACTCGAACCTGCGATGGTCGCTTTGGGCCACCTTCGCGATGCCAGGGCGGAGGGTTGTCCATAGCCGCCGCCTGGAAGATCGATCGTCGGGGATCTCGGCAGGCGGTGGACATGGATAGATTCAGACCCCCATGGACATATCCATATCCACCGCCCGCATGGGGTCCCAGGCCATCGGTTCAGGCGATGGATATATAGAGAAATCTCAAAGGAGGAAAAACCACCCAGACCGGACAATTGGCGTTTACTAGACGGCCTTGGGCGTTTACTACAGAGCCCTGCCCTGCTCGATTCCTTCACTGGGGGCGTTTAGTAAACGGCTTCGCGTGTCGGGGTGGTTACTATCGGGATGAATGCAATATAGAGAAATCCCCGCCTCGCAAGTCTGGAGGCCATCCGAGGCCTCCTGGGGGTCTGCCCCCCCAGCGGCCCCAGAAGGGTCGACGGTCTTCAGGACTTGCGTGAGCCCAACGTGTGTTCACCCCGTTGATCGACAAGCGCGTTCCACTACTCGCAAAGTCGCTACTCGCAAATGGCCTGGATCTGCCGCAGGGAGTGTACGATAGATTTGACCAAGGCAGACCTATGGTTTTGTCGGACGTTTGCGAGTAGGCACTGTGCGAGTAGTGGAACGCGCTCGGCGAGTTGAGCTCCACCGATGCAGAGTGGCTACGCATCAAGAAACCCGACGCTTTCCGTCAGGGAATATATGGTGTGTTCGTTCCGCGCGCTACGCCGTAACTTCCCCCGGCCGTTGAAGAAGTTGCAGCGTTCATGGCGCTGCCCCCTCCCAGTTGCATCTCGCGGGCGGAGTTTCGGGTCTGGATTTCTTGCGAGGGTCTCTCACGACCGCTCCCGCGCCTTGCAATTAGCACGCAGCCCGTGTCGGCCTTCGGTGGGCAAGCACACCGTGGCGCTAACACGCTTTCTGAGGATGATCGATACCAAGGGAGGAAAATCCACCCGGGCCGAACAATTGGCGTTTACTAAACGGCCTTGGGCGTTTACTAAGCAGCCCTGCCCTGAGTGATTTCTTCTTCGGGCGCGTTTACTAAACGGCTTCGCGTGTCGGGGTGGTTATTATGGGGGGGATTCTTTGATTTCTAATCTAATCATCTTCATCCTGGAACCTCGATCCTCTTCCTGCTGCGAGCTCCGGTCTTGACGCTGCTTACCTCCTCTGCCTTCCTCCTCCCTGTGCAGTAGGTCCTCGCTGGCCATGCGTTCCCCTGCATGCTGCGAAGCAGTGCTGGGTGGCACGCAGCGCTCGCAAATATAGAGGGCAGTCACCGTCGCCTTCCTGGTGGCGATATGTAATTTAGGGTCGGAGGAAGAAGGGGAAGAAGGGGAAGAACGAAATCTGCTGCATGCAGCCGGCTTCAATCTGCTGCATGTAGCCGGCTTCGTTATCGCCGGGCGTTCTCCTCGATACATTGGCGCATCTGGCGGCGGAAGGTGCCCTTGAGAGTCAGCTGCGTGAGCTGATTCGCTGACCCTTGTCTACCCTCACGTCTCGTTTGGCCCGAGAGTATCCCTCTGCCGCCTTCTCCTCTGGTCTGCTCGCCAAGCCCTGGCGCACGCGCGCGCGCGAAAGGTACCAGCTGTACTTGCAGCAGCTCGCTGGCTTGTACGTGGACTGGGGGTCGGCGTCGATCTTCGGCCGCTGCCTTCGTCTTCGTCCTTCATCCCTCCGCCGTTTCCTCCTCCCTCCTTTTCTCTCCTCTTCCTCCTCCTCCTCTTCCTCCTCCTCCTCCTCCGCCTCTCCTTTTTCCAGGTGTCCTGTGCCAAAGTGCTTGGGGATTGTACGCGCAAATTCAGACAGAATTGCGTGTGTGAGCTCTTTGGGTTTGTATTTTCGCGAACCTTGCTTTGTCCCTTGCCACGTCTGCGAGCGATGGTGCTTGCTTGGTGTGCGGGCAGTGGTGGTTAGCAAGGATCACCGTGGCGCAGCCAGGCCAAGCCCCGTTGGCATCGTGGGACAGGCGGCGACGGTCAGGGAATACTCCCGACGCCGCCCTCTCCGCCCAGCGATCACGGTGCTGGGCAGGGCCACCGAAGGCGGTACGAACAGTGCGTTGCAAAGAGAATCTTGCGTCATGGGCATACTGCAAGCATTGTGGTGCTGGTCAAGGATACTCATCTGGTGGCGGCGCGTCCGGCCTACACTCAGACTACAAGAGCCGGCTTGGTTGACCATTTCGCCCAGGTCCTCTTCGTGTTTTTCTTGTTTTTGGTGGGAACGCTGTTGGGACCAACGAAAATCACATTTCGTTTTGCAAACGAGCTCGCCGTGCTTGTTCCGTCGGCAAAGAAGTCAAGTGATGCGCCAAGTTCCAGCCACTACCAGGCAACCTTCAACAACTCACAGCGCTAGCAGACCCCAGTTCCCTTCACAGCGGCGCGTCAGCAAAGCACACGGCAACATTCAAGGGTTCTTAAAGAAGCTCAATTCGGCGATTGAAAAATTACATCAGGCTGAGCAGAGGCAAAAGCAGCACAGGCGGAACCCGCTTCTGCTGGTGAGGAGTGCGCGAGCCTTGTCACCGAGCTTTCAGGCTCGCGTCCGATAGTAGTTTGGCATGTCTCTGGTTCCGTTGATGCGAATGCCATTATTGGCACGAAAAGTTTGTTCGACGTTGACGAGGAAGTCTGCGATATGTCGACGGAGGATATTGATACGAAGGATCTCGCGAGTTGTTCACGAGGGCGGCCGGCAAATTACCATCGGCTGCGGGTAGAACATTTCAAAATGCTTGAAGGAACAAAGAGGAATATATCACAATCTGCTCCGCCCGCCGATGGGAGGGGAATCGGTCCCAGGGCGCTTCGGGCGCAGCTTCGTCGCCGAGTGGCGCGTCAGTGACGTCGGCGACAGGTGGTGAGCAGAAGGGGGCGGCGCCTGGGTCTTCGGGTCCGTCCGACCCGCGCAAGCGAGCTGCGGCGGCTCTCGGCACCCCCTGCTCGCAGAGAGCCCCCACCCCACCCTGCTTCTGCCGAGGGCCGAGGGGCAAAGGGGCACATCGAGGAATTTGGTGATTGTTTCGCACGGGCTGGGGCTGCCCTTCGGCCCCCGGCAACTTTAATCTGCATTGGGGGGCCGTGGGCGGCCGCTGCCAGGCCACTGGCAGAGGAGTTATCATCCTGCGTCGACCGCTGCTGGATCATCTTGCAGCCCCAGCGCCAACTCTTCTAGCCCGCCGGCTTCCGCCCCCTCGCCCTCCGAGATTATGGTCGAAAATTTGAAGCTTGAAATTCCCCCCGGCCCCCCTGGGGGCGCCGTGAACTTGATTGCTACTTGTAATTGCGCGGCCTGGAGTCATGCGAAGGGTCGCCCCCTGCCGACGCGGATCAGGTCGCGCCCCTCCAGGGGCGCCGCATCTTGGCAGGCCAGCTCGCGGGCGCGATGAGCTTGGGAGCTTAGCAGCGGATGAACATCTGTCGCGGCAAGTGATCAGGAAACTTCGGAGTTTGGGAGCTCGTGCGGCGCGGGCAAACTGGCTCATCATGGGTTTGGCCCGCGCTGGCCTGCAGGCGGATTTCTCGCCCGGGAGCGCCGCGCTGCGGCGGCGCGCGTTCTTGTCAAGCCAGCCAGCCCATGCCGCGCGCGCCCCGCGATCTCCACCATTGTGAAGGTCTCGGAGATGGAAATTCGACGCTGCTCTCTCGGGCCGGCTGGCTCATGACTAACAGCATTGGGGGTTCGCTGTCGAGGGCGATTTCAAGGCGGCACTGGCAGAGCTGGACAAGGGCCCTCAAGCTCAGCGGTTCGAGGCCCAGGTCCCCGCGCCTGCTGCGCCCGCTTGTTTTCAGTTTTTGGGATGGCGAGGTCCGCGATGATTTCGTCTTGTCCAGCGGGCTCGCCAAGGCGAGGGCGACCACTTTCGTGGGCCAGCGTGCCCCCATCGCGCCGCGCCCCCCAGGGTTTCTCGAATTTCACGGGCAGCTCGCGGAGCCCCAGGCGCTGCTGCCCCGCTGCCCGCCCCATCTTCCGGTTGGGGCGCCAGCGGGCCCTGGGCCTCGACCGAAAGACTGGGGGCCCGCGCTCAAGTTAGCCAATCGGGGTCTGGGGCGAGCTGAGAGGGAGCTCCTTCGCGCGTTCTTTGGGCTAAACCTCTCTGCGCAAGGGTTGGGCCGACCTCGCGGAGATTGAGATTCCCGGACAGCCCCGGGCGGCGCTTCCCAAGCATGGGCGTCGCGCACAAATTCGCGGGCCTGGCTGGCTTCGGCCCTCCCGAGGGGCCGCGGGCCTGACGGGCGCGCCGATCTCGACGCGCACCGTCGGTTAGGTCGGTCTCTTCCTGGCTGGATTGCGGCCTGGAGGGCCAGGGAGGGCGCTTGTCACGCAGGGTCTCCGGGGGGGCCTGGCGCCGTTTTCGCGGCGGTCTCAAAGTTCCTCGGCTCGAAGGCCCCCAGCTGAAGGCCACCCATGGTAGAGCCATTGCGACTAGTCAGAGGGCCGGCGCCACCGCGGGGGAGATTGCCGACGCGTCGATCGAGCCAGGTGACCCGCTCGCAGCCACCACCCAGGCAGCGCGAGCAGAAGCAGAGAGGTCGTGGAAGGGGCGGCTTCTTCGGGGCATCGATCAGGGCGGGCGGGGTGTCCACTCCTGGACGCGCTCCGCGGAAGAGCGGGCCCCCTCCTGGACCCTCAGCGCCGCGGATCAGGTCGTCTCGGACCCCGTCTCGATTCGACGCTTGATGACGATATGTTGAGTGGCCCGCGGGTGGCGAAGACGGAGTTGGGCGATTGCACGCGGCCGCGGGAGTTCCAACTGCCCTTCGCCCGTCGACCCAGCTACGCATCGTGAGGCGCAGGGGATATGCATCGCTGTCGGCTGTGTCAGCGGACGGCTTTCGTCCTCGTCGATGTCCCGTCCTATCTGATCCCGCCCTCCAAGTGGTCTCGCTTCTTCAGATCACCACGGAAACCGCGTCGACCCTCCCAGAGCAATTCCGCATCGTAATATTGGCGATTTTCCCCGAGCCCGCGGGGGCGCCCGAGCCCGCTTGGCTTAATACATAACCAAAATGGGAAGTTTGGGGGCAAGCGGCTTGGAGAGGGAGGAGTTAGAGTCCGCGCAGTCTCTGTTCTGGCTGAGGCCCCAAGTCTGCCGCGGGCGCTATCTGGGGGCAGACGGGTAAGAATGGGGCCGCGGCGAGATTTGGGCTGTGCCCCGCGAGGCATGCTGCGCGTTGCGGTTGCCCCCCCTACTGCCGCGCGGCCCCCCTGCTGAATTGCGCTTCGGCCCCCCCGGCTCGCCGACGTCAGCGCCCGCCGCGAGGGGTGAGCATGTGGTGAGGAGGCCCTGGATGTGGCCAGGGTTCGCTGGGGACGCTCGGGTGCGAATCACACCCGAGCGTCCCCACCGACTCCGCGTGGTAGCGAAATCACCGATTCAGTTTGTTGAAGTTACATCAGAACCCAACGAGTTTCCAACCATGTTAAGTTGACACCGCACAAAAAAATGTATCATCATAAGGCACACGGTAAAAAAAAACAGTTCATCATCAACAATCCCCGACGTGCTCCCATGTCATATCAACATAGTTTGCATGAAAAAAACTGTCATCTTCCCACCCACCGACGTGTTCTCATGTCAGATCAACAATGGGTGCACGAGAAAAAACGGTGCAACATCCAAAAGCCCGACGTGTTTCCTTGTCATATCATCATGTCATATCATCACATCATCATATCATCATCATCATCATCATGGCATGTTTCCTTGTTGTTTCGCTGTTGAGCGAGAGGGGGGGAATCGCCGCGGCTGGGTTCTGCTCCAAACATTTGTGGGTGTCGTGTTTCCGGAGCGGGCAGTAATTGTGAGAATGCGTTCGGGTTTGGCCCAATTGTTTCGGGTCACGGCCATCTCGCGGGCCCACGCGGGCGCGCGATGGCGGCGCCCGCGGCTGCCTCGCTAGCTCGCGCGCTGCTTGAGCACGGCGAGTTGCGAGCCGCCGAGGCCGCTGGCGCCCCACCGACCGTGGCCATCCCGACGGCCGCGGCGGTGAGGGCCATCGCCGGCACAGTGGCCCGGGAGTTGCAGGCGCCACGTCGGCCTTCCCTTTTAGCTTCCGAGAGTAGGGAGATAAGGAGGAGGAGGACGAGGAAGGATAGGATGAGGAGGAGTCGGATGATGAGGAGGATGATCGGAAACGGAGGAGGATGAGGGAGGATGATGAGGGAGGAGGATATCATCATGACCATGAGGGTCATGATGCTGGTAATGAGAGGGTGGTGAGGGGGGCATTGTGTATGTAGTGTGTATGGTGCACGGGTGAGTATGCGGAGGTCGGGGTGGGGATCGGCTTATGAGGGGGGGGGTGAGGGCGGGGGTGGAGGAGGCAGGGAGCGAGGATACTCGAAGCGAAACGCCTCGCCCGAAGGCGCATCGCGGAGCCGCCTGGGCTCCCGACGGCCAGCCGCCGTACGGCGTCGTCGCCGTGGCCCGCTTGCTGCGGGATCGCTACAAGATCGACGTCGGCGACGCGGTGGTGCTCGCGACGGTCGAGTCGGCGGTGCGGCAGAAGCTCGCCGAGCGCGCCGCCTACCGACCACAGGACGGCGCGTTTCTTGGTCGGCGTCGTCGTCGTCGTCGCGGCGTCGAGTCGTCGAGTCGCCGACGATCTCGTCGTCGTTGCCGTCGTCATCGTGGCCGTCGTCGTCGTTGACGTCTCGGTCGTCGACGTCGCCGTTGTCGTTGTCGTCGGAGCTGTGTGTCGGCGTCGTCCTTCCGT